GCAAACTTACGAACACCAAAACACATATTAACGAAGATCCGTAAACACAGCGAAAGATCTCAAGTACACATCGTGCTATGGGGAAAACACGAAGTAAATCAAACAACCAGTAAAGATCCACATGAACCACTGGATGCGAGCGAAAAAAGACTCGTGAATCGAACAAAACACCAAAGCGTAGTCCATAACAATGCTAGATGAAGAAATGCCGACAATTCGTTACAGATCGAGTGAACAAAAGGACAACAACAAATATCTTTAAAAAAAAAAACGAACTAAAAACAACAAAACTCGAGCTACAACAATGCTAGATACAGAAATGTCACAATTCCTTGCAGATCGAGTGGATATAAGATGAAAACAACAGAACTCTTAGAAATCTACCAAAAATCAAGCGCTAGATGCAGAAATGTCAATAAATCCATCAGATCGAGCGAACAAAAGCAAAAAACAAAAAAAGAAAGGAACAGTAGAATACCTGAATACCATGCTCGAGGCAGTAGAGCTCCCAGCAGGCATTGCCAACCTGGATACCGGCCTGACCGATGTGAATTGAGATGCACTCTCTCATTATGGCTTAGAAATGGAAGAACGAAGAAGAGATCTGAGCAGGAAATGGAGAGAAAAACTCTCACGAGGAAGAAAGACGTTTGTAAAGACGCCTTCCCCTTTGAAACCCTTTTTTTGGATGGATAGATTTAGGGAGAAGACGGAAGAGATGTATTTATAGTGGGAGCCGAAGCCAGCGTAAGGAGTGGTCTTTTTTTAACCGTTGGTGGAAAATTGAACGGTAGCTAAGCCAGAATTGGTTTACTCTGGTTGATTGAGAGTTAACCATGGTTAGGGATTCGCTTTTTTATCGTCGGTTTCATTTTTCAAATTTGAATCCGAGATATTGGCGGGTAATGGGCTGAAATCGTGGGCTGGGCTTTTGGGCTTTGGGCTTGGATCCGGTTGGCACTTTGTACTCTTGTCGACTTTTTTCCCTCTCATTTTGGTTAAATTTTAAGTTTAATTTTTCATCTTTCCAATTTGTGGTCTTTTTTTTTTTTTTTTTTTTTTTTTGTGAAATTCAAATTTATCTCAACTATCATTTTTTTTTTAATCTTTTTTAAATATGATAAAACTTTAAATAATAATTGATCTCCGCCCACCTATAGTTGTAGGAATTAATTAATTGATCTTTTAGGATAATTACAAATAAATTTCAATGAAAAATGTTTTTCTTTATGCATGAATGAAAAAAGTTTATTATATGAGAAAAAATTTTGAGCATTTTAATTTTAGTTCTAATAAAATTATAAACTTTTTGTAAAACTTAAAAAAAAAAAAAAAAATTAAATATAAAATTAAAAAATTTTAGATTTATTATGCACAAAATTAAAAATTTAGATTTAGAAATTTATTAGACATTTTCTTTCCAACATCATACATCTATTTAATACAAAAATTAAAACCTACTTACTTTTTAAACCAAATTACTGTGAACATTTAACATAACCCACAAAATATTAGTTGAACGTCTTTTTAAATAAAATTATTCGACCTTTAACCACAACATTAACCCACAAAACATTAATGAAATGGACGTAGATATATAATTGATCTTTTTAAAACCTAATTTTTAAACCACAAAACATTAGTTAAACGTCTTTTTAAACAAAATTACTCGACCTTTAACCACAACATTAACCCACAAAACATTAGTTAAATGTCGCGCCTAGATATATAAAAGCGGATGCATATTTCTTTTTTCGTTCTTTTAATTAACTCAAACAAATGACACATAGACTACCAGCTACAAATTGTGACATGTTACAAAAATACCATGGAAGAAGTGAGACTAAAATTATAATTTAACTTTTTGCATATAATAATTATTAATAATTTGAACATAATAATCACAGCAACATGTTATCAGTTATAAGCAAAACCTACACAATATTCCACTTTATATTTGATCCCAACTAATAAAAATCCTTCAACCGAAGCACAATCAACAAATATAGAACTTTTCTGCTTAAACAAAAGAACTGATAATATTCCAGTCTACAGTTGAGGTAGCAAACTTCAGAAAGAAACATCTCTATTCAAGCAACAAGAAGAGCTTTGAGGCAAGCAATATTTACAAAGATCCATGGCCTAACCTGATATCTCCATTCTGGCAAGATTTCCCACACCTTATTCCTTTACATAACAAAGCACACAAAACTATAATAAAAACTGCCTAGATGGAGCTCAGATTCAGTCCTCATCGTCCTATCAAATCGTAATGTGGAATGAAAACTTGTCGACGCCTCGGCGTCCACCGTAACGATTGTCCAGGAATTCCATGTGTAGGGAGCCTGATACTAGGCACAATATCATAATCTCCCCCAATAACATGAGGAGCTGGGAACGGATAAGGGGGTTGATGCACCGGCCACCCTAAACTAAGAAAATCCCTCACATGGTTAGTTCTCCTGCTTCTCAGCTTTTCATTTTCGTAATATGCAACAAATCGTGACTTCCATAGCCTTTTTCCTGAAACGCTGTCCTCGAAACCGAACTCTTCAGTGAACTTCATCTTCCACAGCTCATTGCTGGAGGCCAAGTAAAGCAATTCAGTACACACACATTCAACTCTTGCAATATCAACACCAGGAAGAGCCTCTAAGATCTTCATCTTCAGATCAGCTGGGAGTAGCATAAAGCTTGCAGGAGTTGGTAAACCAGTTTTTTCACAGAGATCAATCAAGAGTGGCAATGCAAGAGCATCCTTCACTAGCTTCCAGAGTTCAAAAACTTGTTTATCTGGATCCCCTTCTTTTTCATCCATTATGTAGCTGGATACCGAATCCACCCAAATCAGATCAAGATTTGGTGCAAATTTTCTCTCATCCAAAGATATACGATAAACACTAGATCCTCTACTGCAGTTAAGAGACCCATAAACATTAACAAAGTGCCCCAAACTCTGAAACTTCAATAAAACTACTTCAGTCATGGTATAACTCTTGTCCTCCTTGGCCAAAAGTTTAGGTAGGGTGTACCAAAGCGACATCGTAAACGATGGGGAAGGCCAATCTTCAGGCATACGGAAAGGATTATCCTCAGAACCTAAATTAGGATCAATCAGCACAAATCCAGACTCCAGAAGTACTGCGTGAACGGCAGTTACCAAAAGCTTGTGAGCATTACGATCATAACCTAGCTCCTCCTTCAGCACTCTCCTCAAAAAGATCGGCCTCGAACATTTCTTCACTACATCAACGACTGGATCTTCCTCAACGTCCATTTCTTCACAATCCGACTCCAAAAATTTCTCCCCGTCCTCGACCATGCTGCCTATAGTCATTTCTGCATCCAAGGACTTGGATTCTATGGATTCAGGCATCGAATTCTCCAACCTAGGTTTTTTAATATCACAATAGATACCTTGAATTTGTTTTGCTGGTCGCGACGAAGATGAATCTTGTGAAGAAGCTTGAATCGACGTACCTCCTCGAGAAGAAAACCCGGAAGGTTTAAAAGTGAAGAAAACAAGGTCACCTGAAGTGATACCAGTGGAGTGCAGCGAATCCTCCGGCGACGATCCTTGAAGCTCGTCCTTCCGATTGAGAGAGAGGTGAAGAGAATCAGCGGAAAAGGAAGAAGACAGTGCCTGGAGGAGCGTCTGTTTCAGGTGCTCGATGGTAGATTGATCAGGAACTTCAATTCTGAGAGTCTCCTTGGACTCTACGGATCTCAGCCTCAATTTCATGGTTGAATTCGGCCCTTTCTCCTCAGATTTTGACAATTAGGGTTCGAACTTGCGAAGGAAGAAATGAAGACACCCGTCGATTTGGGTGGGGGATATAAATTCTGCGGAGCCTCTAAGACGGTGTAATTTGCGATATTTCCATTTTATTTTTTAAATAATTTTATTTCCCCTTTATTTTAGGGTCTTTTTTTCCCTTGCGACCGTTTGTTTCGAGGAATTTAAGGACGCTCGTGTTGGAAATATGTTTTTCTCCGATTTATTTTAGGGTATTTATTACTTTTTCTCTCCCATTTTTATTTCCATAATTCAAGGAAATTTGAAGTTGCCATTTTAGCAATTTTCTTCCTTTTTTTTATTTATTTATTTCAAACGTATATTTATAAAAATTGTTATTTTGAAGCTTTCTTATTTTTAAGGCCACATATGAAAAAAAAAAAAAAAAATTGTAAAAATATATTTATTTAATTATCCTTCAATATTGGAGTGTAAAAGAAATATTAATAAGTACAAACTATCGATTAATATGTTCACTATGACACTAGTCGTTCCGTATGTGCATAATCAATCATTTGCAACTCTAGCCGACTTGTCTCTACACTAAGCCACACACGTCAACCCTTCGACACATGACAAAGGTGCAATGTCGATTCACCCCATGTCGTCCAATACTATCTTTGAAAAACTCATTTCAAAGAAAGTCGCTTGAGATACTCCTCTTGCACCCCTCGCCCTCACTATGACACATTTAGGTCACAAGATCTAGGAATGGTAGAGAGCTGACATTATGCCTCCTCGTATAATACATTTTTAGGCATTTTTTATCATTATAGAGTAGATATGATTTTGGCAAACAGTCATGTACTTCCGTGGAGCGTCTTTTGAGTGTTCGATTAATATCAAATTTGGCAAAATTTCATTTTTTCATATAGATAGACTTTAACTCCAGAGTCATATGTCAAAACTCATATAGAAACTAAAACTTCTGAGAATATGACCAGGGTTTTACTCGACCTTCCTCGAACTTGTTTTATACGCTTGTGTTACCTTGTTTTCTCTAACATTACTTATGCTTTAAATTGACTTTAATATACACTTTTCTTGGTGTGATGATAGTACCATTTTGTTCGCATCACATCATGATACTACCGAGAGGTATCCAAACTGAGTGTCAATTGAGAGTTTAGTCACGTTATGTATCTTACCTCGAAATGGTAGATTCATTCTAAAAATAGAAAGACCGTTTATAAGAGCGCGCGCCTAGAGCTTCCAAATCCATAGCAGCCCAGCCGCTGGGCAGCTCCACGAGCTCATCTCTCTAGGAAACTTCGCCCATGGCACCAAATTCTCTGCCCGGAGGTTTAAATCTCCAATTTATTCGCGCACTTCCTTCAATCCTGATTCACGGCGCTGTATCATTCTCCATTCGTACTTTCTTCGCTCGGGTATTTTTTTTTTTTTTTATTCTGTTTTTGCTTGTTAAACCCTATTCATCAATCGGTTGTTTACTTCTACGGCGCTACTTTAATCCTGGTCTCCTCCTGGTATTGCTGCATTACTGTCTAATTGATTGTTCATTTTTCCCCCATGTGGATTGCTTGATTGCTGTTTGTTTCCGCGGATTTTCCTTCTTGGCACTTCCGTCGCGCATTAGGAAATATTTGTATAATTGGTAGCGAAACTGTTTCATATTGGAGCAGGGAAGAGGTTTTGGAATTTTTGGGGTTTCTGATTCTATATTGTAACAACCAAGGGTGCCTTGGTTGTGGTAGTACTCGTAGGCATGTCTCTTGGACGATACCTTCCAAGGGCTTGGGTTCTTCTCTTATTGAAAACGTGATAACCTTAAATTATGTATTCATGGATGCTTTTTGTAAGAGTTTTAGTCTCTTGCTAGATTCAATGCCTCTATGTGGACTTCACTCTCCAAGGATTTGTGCAATTATCCGTCGTGTTTGTTCTTTTGGATTGGATCCATTTTTTGATTGGTTCACGGACAATATTGGCTAGTGGTGGGCTTGGGCTGTTACAAATGGTATAGAGCCAGCCCTAGGGAGTCTGCCAACGAGGATGCTAGGTCCTCTAAGGGGTGGATTGTGAGATTCCATATTGTTTGGGGAGGGGAACGAAACATTCTTTATAAGGGTGTGGAAACCCCTCTTTTATATTGGGCCATTACAATATCTGCTAGGGAGAAGTTTCCACACTCTTATAAAGAATACTTTGTTCCTCTCTCCAACCGATGTGGATCACACAATTGTGAATCCCACATCGATTGAAGAGAGTAACGGAGGACGATGAGCTATAAAGGAGTGGATTGTGAGATCCCATATTGATTTGAGAGGGGAACAAATCATTTTTTTTAAGGGTGTGGAAACCTCTCCCTAGCAGACACGTATTTAAAATTTTGAGGGGAAGCCCGTAATGGAAAATCAAAAGAGGAAAATATCTGCTAGCAGTGAGCTTGGGCTGTTATAGTAAACGTGTTGGAGATGATTTTTTTTTAATCTTTTATGTTCATTTAAGGTTTGTTATGTTGTTCACTCAGTGTCAGTTCATATCTTAGTGACATAATTTTACCCCTATTTGTTAGCTTGTATCTCTTGCCTTGACAAACTGTCCTGTCCCTTTATTTTACTCGAGTTGTGTTTGAATTTATCTTTTGAGTTTATCTTTGTAGGGAAATATTTGAGGAGTACATTGCACAACTGAAAGAACGCACAAAAGAAACCGAAACTAAGCGAAAGGAGGAAAAGGTAGTCAGGTACTTTCTATTAGAATCTTTTAGTTTATGCACAATTCCATTGAGTTTATCGTATATTTTGTGTATTAGTTTCTGAAAACTAAGGGGGAGGGGGTGGTCAAACACTTACAAGGTGTTACTTGAAATGGCAACCCCAAAAACCTCTCCTTTTGGGCCCCAATCGTTGGGATATTGAAGGAAAAAAAAACAGAATGACTGGAAAATTCTCAATATCTGGAGGTGGAAGATTATCTCCTCTCCAAGCAACACTATCCAACCTTCCTATCCTACTTACTCCTTCAAATGCCAACAAAGGGTGCTGAGAAGATTGAAAAACATTTCCAGAACTTCCAGCGTGAGGTCCCACATCGGTTGGAGAGGGAAACGAAACATTGTTTAATAGGGTGTGGAAACTTCTCCCTAGTATAATGCGTTTTAAAACCTTGAAAGGAAGCTTAGAAGGGAAAGTCCAAAGAGGACAATATTTGCTAGCGGTGGACTTAAACTGTTACAAATGCTATTAAAGTCAAACACTGGGCGGTGTGCAAGTGAGGACGCTGGGTCCCCAAGGGGGTTGGACTGTGAGGTCTCACATCGGTTAGAGGGGAGAACGAAGCATTCCTTATAAGGGTGTTGAAACCTATCCCTAATAGACGAGTTTTAAAACCTTGAGAGGAAGCCCAAAAAGAACAACACATGCTAGCGGTGAGCTTGGACTTGGGCTTGAGTAGGTAATACCTATGAAAGAATACATTGAATCACCGAGCCTTATTTCATGGTTCTGTTTCTAACATAGTGGGAAATGGAGCTACAACCGATTCTTGAAAGACGATGAAGTATCTAAATTAGCTGAATTAAAACTCCTATTATCAAATATTCCTTTAGACGTCCGACTAGCCATTCGGGTTTGGCCTCATGAGGCCAACGAGGTTTTTTTTTTCCTCTGCCAAATCCTTTCTCAAAAGTCTTAATCATTCAGCCGTTACTAAACCCCTTCTCTTTACTAGGGCCATTAACTCTCATGATAGTTGGATTCCACAATCCCACATTAGTTGGAGAGGAGAACGAAACACCTTTAGTAAGGGTGTGAAAACTTTTCTCTAGTAGACACGTTTTAAAGTCTTGAAGGGAAGCCCGAAAGGGAAAGCCGCTAGCGGTGGGCCTGGGCCGTTACACTTTCTCTCCAAGTTGGTGTACCCTTTCCCAAAACAGCATGGAGGCGTGTCTACCCGTACGTGCTTTTTCCAAAAACAGAACAAATTTGAGCTTTACTCATTACCAGAAATGCAAACTTTTAGATGTTTTAGAAATATCAGCCACAAAATCTTATGTGGTATAAACACTGTAGAGATCTAACTGTATTTGCAACGGTGGGAAATGAGTAGAAAAGCCCGTGAAGATTTAATATGAACGGCTGACTTTTGCACATTGGCAAAGAGGCAGATATCATAGAGAGTTGACCACATATGATCCTTTCATATCTCCCCCTTTAGTGCCTCTTATTGCTTCTACTTTTTCTCTCTCTCATCCTTTCCCACAAGATTTTATTATGTCATTCAAACAAAGTAATGGTCCATAGCTCTCTCCCACACACATTTATTATGAAACTTCAATTCTTGAAATTTTTGACCTGGCTATTGAATAGAATAGTTTACAAAGTTGGTTTAGAAAGGGCTAATGCACGCTGCCTTCGTTTCTATTGTGCAAGTCATTGTAGTTTTACGAGAAATATCTACAAGAACTAGTCTAAAATCGAGTTATTTTTAATTAGGATATGGAAGAACACTGAGTCAACTAGATTTGGTGGTTTGAATTAAACTGTTTCTGGGTGATGGTGATTTAGATTGTAAGGTTTTGTTGATGTCACAGAGCTTACCGAATCAAGACATTACTTATCTTCTTAAAGACAGGATGTTTGGATTTCATTTACCTCTAATGAATTCGGTATGATAAAGAAACTTGCAAGGTTTGTATGATTATAATAGTAAGTGATGGCTATGTTCTTGACCTCCTCCACTACATCCTCAAGAAGAGAAATCATTATTAGGGAAATCCAAATCATTTTTAGAGGACCTACCCACGTAAGAATCATTGAGACACCACTATGGTTTGCAACTTTTGGATGCCTATAAGTGAGGCATGCTTATTTGTAATCATTATCATTGTGCTTTCTTAGTTTTTTTCCTACATTTGATGCAACTTGTTATGCTAGGATTCCCTTTCCAACCCAACTCCCCACCACAAAAGGAAACACGTAGCTTAGTTTTAAAGAGACGAGAGGTAGAAATTTGAATCTTCAACCGTTTGAGGAGTATGAATAATTTATTTTCGTCATTCAAGGTCCAAAAACATTTGAGCTAATAGATTAGAACTATTAATTCTTCAATATATTTCGAGCACACATTACTTTGATAACATGGGGTACAAGTAATGTACTTATGAATTATTTCATTATATTCTTTACACTCTTAAGCTTTGAGGTCCCGCTCTAACTCTAATCAAGTAGATACTTTTTATAATGCCTCAGGTTTAGGATTCAGTCAATTTCTCGATTATGCTAATCTTCTTTGTATCGTTCTAAGTTTATCAAATGTACTTGATAAATTATTTTTAAAAATTAATTTATTCTTTATGTTCCTGTCAAATCTAAATCGTTCCAATGGAATAGTATAGCCAAGCGTGGTCCGACACATAGTCACGAGAATAGTTATAAACGCATTCTTTTAAACCTCTCCTAATTATTTCTTTGGACAGGTTTATATTTAACTTTAAGCATAGATATTCAATGATGATAACTTTTTTTATGAGGGGAAAAAACTCATGAGTATAAAATCCATGCTGGTTACTTTTGGCTTGAAGTTCCAATTTTGCCCTTCCACAATCCCTTTATATTCATTTCCAGTCCTTCTTCTTCCCCATTTCTCTCATATGGCTCCCAAACTCTTAACCTCCATCTTCACATTTCTCTTCCTTTTCTTCTCCTTTGTCTCCTCGGTAACCACCATTGGCGCTCGGCCTGTGCCTGTGCCTGGCTTTTCAAACGCTTTTCCCGGGACTTCTCGAGACGAGGTACGTAAATTTATCAGCAATTTCTCTTGTTAATATCTGTTTCTAGAAAGAAAGGAAGTTGTAGTAATATTGTGTGTTCTTTTCATTCTTTTTGGGAAGTTGAAGGCTGGGGATGATGCTTTGGAGGAGGAGAGTTGTGAAGAAATTGGAGAAGAATATTGCTTGATGAGGAAAACTCTTGCAGCCCATGCTGATTATATCTACACAGATAGCCAGAGGAAGCCATGAGATTATTTACATAGAATTAGTGACAAAAGGAAGAGATTCTTCTGTAAGTTTGGGAAATTATATTAGTGTAATTATGTTTAATTTTTGACTAATTGTTAACTTTTATATAATCCAGGTTAAAGGAACTAGATTTACTAAGTTTCTTCGGGTCACGATATCATAATTATGTATCATAATTTGATTAGCCTAAAGTAATCATTTCTAAGTATTCACATTACCTATCATGGATTGAAAATCTTTCGGTATGTCGAGAGGACATTAATATTTGATCGTATAATCAGATGTATATCGCTCGTGAACGAGAGGGGTAACTCTCTTTGTTCTTCTGTTTACCTCTTTTTGGTGTAAGAAATAAATAGGTAGTTTGGAAGTTGTTGCATTTAAAAGCTATTCTCTTTTTTTCATTTTTCAAAAAATTGTATTCCATTGTTATTTCTTATTTATTAGTTAGAATATATATATATATATACTTTTAATTTTGGAACTTAATAGACACGACATTAATTATCATTAAAATCGATCATTCAATTCAATTTTGCCATTATTAAAAAAAAAAAAAAAAATCAATGCTACACTAAAAAGTATACCAAAATGAAATAAAATTAAAATAAAACAAAATGGAAAATAGAGACTTTGAATTTCATTAGGTTATATTTCAAATTGTTCCAAAAAGAAAAAGTATACAATTGTCAACTGCTCCAAGTTATTCGCTCGGAGAAAACAGTGGCAAACGCCGCCGCAGGCGAGTACTGGTTTCTGAAGACGGAACCGGCAGAGAGGTCGTCGGCGGAGCAAGCCGCCTACGACGGACGAACAAAGTGGGATGGCGTCAAGTAGAAGCAAACTCAGAAGCATCTCAAATCCATGAAAACTCGGCGACCTCTGTTTCTTCTGATACCCCGGCGCAACAGCCCGCCGTCTCGGCAGTCGACTGCAGCAAAAACTGTCAGTTGTGTTGTGGAGGAGATTCGGGATAGAGCTTGAATTTGAATGCAGGCAAGGTGTTTGTAATTATGCCTAAGAGAATTTTGGTAATATGATTTAGAGAAATTTATAATTAATTCTTATGGAATGTTCTCAATAAATAGCGTTTATGAAATGAAATTTAAAAGACATTAAATTAAATTTGAGATCAGTTTGAGTGTGAAATGTGAACAAAGGGCTTAGGGTTTTATTGATTTGTTTAAAATAGTCAAGCACATTAAATTTGAAGTTAAAGTCTTCTCGCTTTAAATATTTGATTTCATTAGGTCGGAATTATTTTTATTATTTATTATTATTATTATTTTATTAAGAGATTGCAATTCAATTCTCCTACTATATATATATATATCTTTTATTTTATTTTATTTTTCAATCGATATATGTTATGATTAGAGTTATTCATGGCAGGGCGGTGATCGGGAAACTTTTTCTGTCTCCATCCCGCCACCTATTTCATTTCTTATCCCTACAAAATTCTCCATTTATTATTCATTTAAAAAATTATACCTTCTTTCTATTTCACACTACTAATTCACATGTTTAATTTAATAAATTAAATTAACGTAATTTACATAAATATTTTTATTCGAGGATGATGGTTTAAAATCTCCATTTTTACATTTATTATATTAAAATAAACAATAATAATGATTTAATATTTTTATGTCGAAATTAATTGTACTTGAAAGTTTGTATATTAAATTAAATTATACCGTAATCTTTTAAATTTGTGTCTATTTAAATTTGTATTTTATATTTAATGTTTAATGAGGTAATATTTATTTAAGACAAAATTAAAGTTTAGGGTTTAGATGAAATGAATTAGTAATTGACTTTCCAAATTCTCCAAAGGTTTGTTATAATTTGATAAGGATTAATATGATCCACGTTGGTCCCAAATTCAACGTTTCCAATGAAGTAGGAAATGAAAAGCGAGGTTAAGAGAGTGGCAAAAGTGTAATTTAGAAGTAAAAATGAGGTCACTTATTTGCGTTCATAATATGCCACACGGCATGCGTGCTTCTTCTTCTATATATGGAACTTCTTTGCCACTGGAAGGAGAGTTGGAAACCTCTGAATCTCACATCTCCCTCAACTGAATTCCATCTCCTTCTTTTTCCCTCTTCCAAACCCTAATTCTATCAAATTTCTGCTTCGAGTCCTCCATTTTGAGTGGCTTCAATGGCGAATCAGTTCGGCAGTTTAGTGGAATCCATAAAATCCAAGGTGAAGGCGCTGAAGAAGTCGAAGAAGCCGTATATAAAGATGGACAAAAGCTCCAGCGTCAAGGTTGAGATCCGTAGCCGAAAATCTCGATTGTTGATCGATAAAACTATGAAGGTCGCCGATCGTCCTGGCAAGCGCACTGTTTCTTAGTCTTGATTATCATCTCGGTTTCTTACCGACACCAGGTTTTTTTTATGCTCTCTCGCTATTTTTCTCTGTGATCTTCGCGTAGTTGCAATCGCGGAATGTTCTTTTTTTTGATGATTTAGTTTTGGTTTGATCGTGTAGCTACCGATTCTGTGTTTCTCTCATAGATTCAGACATGGAACCGTTTCGGATTAATAGCTCCGAAACTAAACTTGTAACTAATTACGAATCGATGAAATTATGAATTTCTGAGTTTCTGAGTTTCTTTCTTCGATTTTTCTCGATCTTCCTTTTCGAATTCCTAATCACGCAGCAGACGTCTTCTCTGTTTGCGATTAGTTTCAACTCTTTGAAATAGATTGATTTGATTGAAAACTACATGAAAAAGGAATCAAATCAGTTTTGAGTCGCTGGGGAAAAACAAATCTCGACGGGAAACGGACCACATAATTGAAGCGCAATAAAGACTGATATGGAATTGCGTGCCTACGCTTAGGACGGCAAGAGATTGTGATCATTGATTGAACGGCCCACCCTACTCCGCCATTGTCAATTCTTCCTCATCTGAAATTGATACAGATTATTGTATTGTGCATTATTCATGGATGTTAAAAGTCAATTGAATCCTATTCAATTTTCAATTACTATTTTAATTGATAACTTACAAAAAAGTATGTGATTCTGTCGGTTATTGAAATTGAAATTGAGTGATGCTTCTATCATGTGCATCAAGAACAGACCTGTATTTTAAAATAGGCTATGCCCCTCCCAACTTTGTTCTATGTTTAAAATATATTTCAACTTACCTTTGAATCCTTTCATAGTGTTCGAGTTCCAATTTTCGCTCAAGTAACAATTCATGGGATAGTAATTTATATTTGTGATTTTAATCATTTAACTATATTTGAAAATTTGTTTTTAAATAATAATTTACAATTTTACAAAAACAACGAAATTCAAGTCAAAACTCAAATTTCAATGTAAAACCCAAAAAGAAAATATTTGAAAATAACGAAAAGCTATGTTCTTTTTAAAAAAGACATGGACCTTATTTATTGATCTCAAATAAATAAAATGAATAAAAATAAAGTGCAGATTTTAGTTTGAACCGAAACTAAGATCATTTAAAAGGTGAAGAAAAAATTAAATTTAAATTGCGACGGTTGAAAGCTAAGTTTTGATTATTCATATTTAATTTGTCAATAGTCTAAATATTGCATATCAAATATTTCAATTTTTTTTTTCTTTTTTTATTAGAAAATAAAATATGAAGAATTTGATTAGGTTATATTTGACTTGGAATTTGGACCCTCATTATATGGGTTGAAGATGAGAAATTGCGAAATAAATAATATATATATATCATTAAGTTGACATAAAAAAAAAAAACTCATAAAAATAAATAAATTACAAGTTTATTTGTGTCTTACTAAATTCTTAAAATGTGAATTTAATGCACTAATAATACAAGTAAACTTAAATTTTATGTTAAATGGGTATGTAAATTTTATAAAAAAAAAAAATAATAATAAATAAATAATTGGAAGATTTATTGGGCAAAAAAAGTTGAAAGTTAATATTTTATTACACTTTAAGATTAATTAGAAGTGTATTAAATGACAAAATCCTAAAATTAAAAACTTCTCATTTAAGCTTTAAGAAAAATATAAAGTCAAAGTTGACCAAAATCAAATGGGCCCAACATGAAGAGCCCAATATAAATGAATGAGTAGCCCATTGGGCCTAAGGGCTTTGAGTTGCCTGGTTTTCCCATACCCTCTTAAAATCACTTCTATCCAAAAAAAAAAAAAAAAAAAAAAAAAAA